ACGGTGGAGTGTGGGGGTCAGAGGACAGCTTTCAGGAATTTGTTCTCTTCTTCTGTCATGTGGGTTCCAAGGATCGAACTCTGCAACGGTTGCCCTTTCCTGGTGAGCCATCTAAGCACACACCTACACACTCCCTACCCAGCCTACTTTTCTTGAAATAGGATCTTACTTAGTTACCCAGTCTAGCCTTACACTCACTCTGCCTCCCAGGCAGGCCTTGAACTTCCGATCCTCTGGCCGCAACCTCCGATGCAGCTGCAATTGCAGGACCACGCAATAGGCCTGGCTCTAAGCTGCTTTCAAAGAAAACTGTAAGAGAAGCATCAGTGCGGCTGGAAAGATGCGGCTGCGGCTGCCGTATGATGCGACGTCATTTGTCCCGAGGAGCCTGACACTTTCTGACTGACAGGGTTTTTCTCCACTTCTCCACTGGGGCTTGAAGATTTCTCTGTACGTAGAAATAAAGGCCCGTGTCCACTGCAAACAGGAGGCACATCACTAGGCAGAAAGCAGCATGGTACCAAAGCAGAGAGGTGAAGGGTGTAGTTGAGGGACCTGGTGGCAGAGCCGGAAGAATCGGAAGAAATGAGCCATTAAGACAGAAATTCAGGCCGGGCGTTGGTGGCACACGCCTTTAATCCCAGCACTCGGGAGGCAGAGGCAGGCGGATCTCTGTGAGTTCGAGGCCAGCCTGGTCTACAAAGTGAGTTCCAGGACAGCCTCCAAAGCCACAGAGAAACCCTGTCTCGAAAAACCAAGACAGAAATTCAGAATAAACTGTGAGGTCCCTAGTGCAAAGTCATCACACCAAATATTTAAAGTAAGGGCAAGAGCTTATAAATAAGTCGGGAAGCCTTCGATGGACTTTTATCTCTCAACAGTCCCCATATGTTGCTAAATCTGCATTTCTATAGGGTGGCCATGCCACATCTGTATGAGATACAAGAAGTTAAACTTCAGCTCTTAGGAATGCCTAGGAACTTAGAGAACCTATGTACCAATGACAAGGCTCTGTTTCACTGCTGCCCAATAGCCTTGTCACCTAACACCTGCAAGTGAGGAGCTCTGGGCTGAGCCCCCTTGCATCACTTGGCAAGGCCTCCACAGCTCTGCTCTGCCTCCATGCCCAGTTTTGCTGCTGTGGTGTTCCTAGATCTCCACGTGGGGCTAGACAACTTTAGCCTCTGTCTATCTCCTCTTCTCCCTTCCAACATCTTCACTGAGTCCCCATACCTTGGACAGTGATGGTCACAGGCCTTGATGAGTGTTGTGCCTGTCCTAGACGGGCTGTGCAGTGATAATCACCACTGTGGCTGTGATTTGCTTTGGCGATGGAGATGTTGCTAATGAAATGATTATATCTTATAGACTTTCCATTATGGTAGAATGTGACCTTGCTCATGAATTTGTTCCTCCAGCTGTGGCACCGCAACACGATGGTTTCCCCCTTCCTCAAACACCAGTTGAGGGGTCTGGAGCAGCAGCCAGTCTGAAAGATGGAAAGAAAATTTACTTAATAAATAAATATTCAAAACATAACCTCCATGGCTTATAAACAATATACATTTACTTCTCACATTTTTGAAGACTGTGAAATCCAAAGCAAGAGGCCAGAAAGGTTTATATCCGATGAGAGTCTACTTCCTAAATTGAGGCTTATTATCAGAATTCTCGGGAGATCTCCATAATCAGAACTTCAGTCTCATGACTTAGTCACCTCCCAAAAGGACTACCTCCTAATACAACCCCCCCCCCCCCCGGGCGGTACAGCTGCAATATCTCAGTCTTGGAACTTGAACACCCTGAGTAGACTCTTCCACCCACATAAAAAAATGAAAGCATATGACCCTTTGGGGAAATTTAGGAGTTTGTGACCCTGAAGCTCAGGCTGGCCAAAACTCATTATGTGACAAAGGCTAGCCTCAAACTTTCAGCAAGCAGCAAGCCTCCTGCCTCAGTTGGTATTACACACAGGTAGGAGCTATCATGCCCCATCAAGGTAAGATCTATTTGTTTGTTTTGTTTTTGAGATCTGTCAGGATTCACTATAGTAGCCCTGGCTGTCCTAGAACTCACTCTGTAGACCAGGCTGGCCTGGAACTCACAGAGATCCATCTGACTGCATCTGCCTCTCTGTGTGGCGATTAAAGGTGTGAACCACCTTTACTCTCACGTAGCCCAGTCTGGCTTCCAATTCATTGTGTAGCTCTGGCATGGGGACCTTAAAGAACCATTTTATTTTATCTTATTTTGTTTTGAGACGGTCTCACTGATGTGGCCCTGGTTGATCTCATTTACCGACATACACCTACCTATGCCCCCAGAGTACTGGGATTGAATGCATTTGCAACCATTCTCAGCCCTAAAGTACTGTTTTTAAAATCACCTCCTTGGTGTTAACCAAGAGAATCTAAAACACTAGGTACTTACATGTGCCATCTTCAGGGCTTAGGTTTCAAGATAGATATGACGTAAACTACAAACATACTCATATTTTCAGATTTTAGAGTGGCGTAGGAATAGTGTCCAAGGGCATTTTCTTTATAAACGCTGGTAAACTGAGCATTGTGACATATTCATACACACCCAAATCAGATGATTGACTCCTTAAATTAAAGCCATCCCATGATGACGCAAGGGAATAGTATTCAGCTATAAGAATGAATCCTATTTGTGACAACATGCATTGAACTAGAAGTCATTATGCTAAGTGAGTTAAGCCAGACATAGAAAGATGAGTATGCAATATCACACATATGAAAGTATTGAAAATAGTCAACCTCATAGAAGTTGGGAGTAGAACAGTAGTTAGCAGAGGCTGGGAGGAAACGAGGAGAGTGGGGTGGGGGTGAGGTTGACCAGCAGATAGTGATTTATAGCCAGATAGGAGCAAGGCATTTTGAGATGCTACTGTATAGTAAGATATCTATAGAAAATGACGCTGTGCTGTGTCTTTCTTTCATTCTTTCTTTCTTTTTTTTTTTTTCCGAGACAGGGTTTCTCTGTGGCTTTGGAGGCTGTCCTGGAACTCGATCTGTAGACCAGGCTGGCCTCGAACTCACAGAGATCCACCTGCCTCTGCCTCCTGAGTGCTGGAATTAAAGGCATGTGCCACTAACACTGGCTGTACTGTATATTTCAAAGGGGGGAAACAGAAATAAGGATTTTCAATATTTATACTATAAAGAAATGATAAATACTTGAGGTGATAAATATGCCTAATCCAATTTAAGAACTGAATAATATATACACATAACAAAATGTCACATGCTATACAGCAAACAAAGAAATTAGTTTCAAAATTTAAAAACGACTCTACAGGCTTTCATCTCGTTCAGGGATGAAAGCCGTCACTGACACAGCCTGTCCTTTCTACACGTTTGACACAGTTCCTTTCCCTTCCCTTCTGGCCTCGTTTTCCACCTTTCGGTTCTTCTCTGGGAGGTTTCACCTCCCGTTTCCTCATACTTGTCAAGCCTGCTCTTTCCTTTGCTGGTCTACTTGCCTACAGCCTCCACGCTTCCCCCCTCACAGAAGTGATGTTTATCAAGCAGGGACTTCCTTCTGTTTCTCTAGAAGCAGCCTTCCTGTGATCTTGAACCTGTTGCTCAACCAGGACTGAGTCAGATAACAGCTGTCCCCTCAACACAGTACTAAACAGAGCGGGTGAAGAGGGAAATGTGTGGATAAATGACTTTCTATAAGGCTCTCAGTGATGCTTCCCAGAAACCAGGCCACCCTCTTTCTTGTAAACTGCTGTCCTGTAAGCAGATTCCCCGGGCCTGGTATCCCAAATCCTCCCAGGCCTGTGTCTACTAACCGGAAATCACTCCCAGTTGCACAGGGTCGCTGAGGCTGGTTTGCCCCATTCGGCACTGGTATTCTCCACTGTCATTGTCCGAGGCTTTAAACGTGTAGCTGGGCTGGACCTGGCTCCAGAGGGAATTCCCATTGTGGAGCCACTGGGTGGAATCGTTCCCAGGGCTGTGGGTCCCTTCACACTTCAGAGTTACCCTGTCTTCCTTCAGCACCTGGATCCATGGGGGCTCAAGCTTCACCACGGCCTTCGGGAGATCTGCTGGATTTCAGAGAGAGAACACAAAGAAACCTCAACAGGTAAACTTTGAGAGACTGTGGATTTCAAAGGGGAGCCCAGGAGCCAGAGAGTCCCTGTCATTGATCCAGTAAAGATCTAGGAATGATGACTCACAACTGTAGTCTATCAATGGAAAGGATGAAGCATTTAAGAGCTGACTGTGAAACATAATAATTCAGTCAAGACCACTTGTGGGCAACTTAGCAAGTCCGTTTCAAAATAAGTTTTTAAAAGGCTAGGGTTGTAACTCAATGATAGAAGTTTATGTAGCACACCCCAGGTCCTGGGGTCAATCTCTAGACCATTAAAATAATTATGTACTTGCAATGGCCCCTTTCCCTTGGAATGCTAGGCAATCCAATCAGAATCTTAGCAAGTATTATACTCCAGGCCCTGTTTTGAGAGAACTACCCAATCTGAACCCAAGTCTGCAGGCCCTGCTATAAGAGAACTACCCAATCTGAACCCAAGTCTGCAGGCCCTGCTATGAGAGAACTACCCAATCTGAACCCAAGCCTGATGCTTGGTAAAACAGACATTTCCCTTCAAAGTACGTGCCACATTTTATAGTAAGGAAGTAATACTGTGAAAACAAGGGAAGCACACACTTACCAGTCTGCCTGTCTGCAAGAGCTGTAAATAGGAAGAGACAGGGTCAGTGTGGCGCGGCAACAGATGAAAGCGAATAGAATCATGCATAAGGAAAGTCAGGATGGGCTTGGAGCCTCTTCCCCACCTCAAGAGTCTGTTTCTACCTCTCGTACCCTCCCCACCTCATCGTGCCAAGGGGTCTGCACAGCTGCAAAGCAAGTGTGAACGTTTGATGCAGGCGGACTTTTCAGGAACTGTAAAGGCACCCCCGGATTCTGAACTTAAAAACATTAAAGCAGTAAGGAGTTAGAATCTCGTTTTGTTGTTGTTGAGACAGGGGAACCGCAATGGAACTCTGGCCAACTTGGAACTCACTGTGTTGACCAGATTAACCACTTGCCTCTGCCTCCTAATCGCTAAGACTATGGCATGGATCACTACACCCAGCTCTAGAACCCTGTTTTTTGTCAGGGTTCCCACGAAGCCAGGTTGGCCTAGAGTTGGAACTTACTGTAGCTGAGGCTATCCTTGAACTCCTGGTTCCCATCACCACCACACAAGTTCTGGGATCACGAGCAGGAAACACCAGACCTTCTAGCCCAGGCCTGCTCCTCTGTCCTGGTCTCTGGAGTCAACACTCTAGGAGAGGCTGACATTGCTCTATTTCAGAATGACCCTTACTCACCAAACAGCAGCAAAATTGTCAGTGGTTGAAGCAGCCATTGGCTTCCAGAATGTACATTCTGAAACATCTGTGTCTCCAGACTCATTCAAGAGCTGGGTCAGAGTCTCATGGGGTTTAGGAGATGATCTAAGAAAAGAGGAAGGAAATGGAGTCATGTTCTTGTGTAACCTTCTAAAGTCAGCAGACTCTGGTTCTGCTAACTTAACAATCACTGGGTACACAAGATGTGCAGTCTGCTTGACAGATATAACCTTCTTCATGTAGCCCTTGTTATACCCTTGGGGAAACCCCAAGTTACTGTTTACTAGTGAGGAAACTGAGGGAAAACACTAGAAAGCAGAGGAGGGAGTCTCCGTTTAGTGTCTGGGGCCTTGGTTTTTGGGTTGCTTTCATGAGTTCCTATGCTGCCTCACAGGCCAATGCAGAAGTCCTAAGGGGGCTTTGGAAAAGGAATTTTGATCCAGGTGAGATAAAGACCTTATAAACAGGTTATTGAAAGACTTATTAGAAAGAAAACAACAAGAATAATTATCTGAAGAAAGCAGTCTAAGAATGTCCCTATACTATATGCAAGAGTCTGACCTTGCCCTCCACACATGTAAGAAAGTTGTTAAGAGTTTTTGTCTTGTTTTTTGAGACACTGACTCTCTAAGTATTCCTGATTGACATGGAACTCACTATACAGACCAGGCTGACCTTGAACTCACAGAGATCAGCCTGTCTGTGCCACCTGACTGCTAGGATTAAAGGCATGTAACACTATGCCCAGAGCAAAAACAAAGTTTTCAAGTATAAAGAATAAATTTGTTAATAAAGAAATTGTAATAGCATAAATGCTATTCAAAAGAGGAAATCGGAAACGGTCAAGATGGCTCAGTCGGTAAAGGCACTTACCGCTAGGCCTGATGACCAGAGTTCCACCTCTGAAACCTACATGATAGTTGGAAAGAACTGTTTTTCTCTGTTCTCTGAACACAAACACACACACATGCACGCGCACACATGCGCGCACACACGCACACTCACACACAATTAAACAAATATTTTTAAAAACATATTTTTGTAATGAGCATTCTTTCCACCATCCTGGTCTCAGAGCCGTGTCAGTCCCAAATGAACACACAGGATGCTATATTAATTATGAAGCTGCTGGCCGGGTGGTGGTGGCGCACACCTTTAATCCCAGCACTCGGGAGGCAGAGGCAGGAGGATCTCTGTGAGTTCGAGGCCTGGCTGGACCGACAGCCTCCAAAACAATACAGAGAAACCCTGTCTCATAAACCAAAAAAAAAAAATCATGAAGCTGCTGGTCATTTGTTATGGTTTCTTAATGGCTACCTCTGATTTAATTATTAACCCATAATTACTAATATATATTTTTATATGGTCTTATCTTATGGAGGACGCAGTCTCCCGGGATCACATAGTGACTCTCCACTCTTGACTACATTTCCCAGAATCCTCCTCAACTCCTAGTCCCACCTATCTTTCTTCCCTATTGGCCAACAGTGCTTTATTTATCAGTCAAGAAGACAACATGTACACAGAAGGACTTCCCCCATCACTTTTTTTTTGGTGTATATACTCATCATCTACATTCTTCTGACACCAAATATGTGTATATGGGCTGGGGGAAGTAGTTTCCATGCCAAACAATTATCTAACACCATCTACAATTCCTACAATTTCAACTCAGTTCTGAAATACTCTACTTGGAATTAACATGACTGTTTCACACAGCAGACAGAACGAAAGTCAAGAAACTTGAGCATGCCTGTATAGTTGTCATGTGAGTTAACAAAATTTTCTGTGGGAGATATTGGCTGTTTGGTGATGTTTTCTGGAACTGTGCCTTCCATTTGTCTTGTCTCAGGCTGGTCCCCCATTTTTTATAACTTTTGTCAGAATGTTTCAGTATTTCACACTTCCAATGTGGGGCTTGAACTTCCACATAGGACTTGAGAAAGCTGGAAGAAAAAGAAGAAGAAGTAGAAGAAGAAGAAGAAGAAGAAGAAGAAGAAGAAGAAGAAGAAGAAGAAGAAGAAGAAGAAGAAGAAGAAGAAGAAGAAGAAGAAGAAGAAGAAGAGGAGGAGGAGGAGGAGGAGGAGGAGGAGGAGGAGGAGGAGGGGGGGGGAGGAGGAGGAGGAGGAGGAGGAGGAGGAGGAGAGAAAAAAAGGATATGGCTCCTTTAAGAGGCTCTGCCATACAGGTATGCTAAGTAGAAACAGCATGTTAAGTAAATCTTTCCTTCCTCTGAATGCCACAGTACAGGGGCACCAACTTCCTAGAGTTGGGGTGGTGGACTACAGCTCCCATTTGAACACAGCTCTCAATCAGGCTCATGGGGCATAAAGCTTGGCTTTCATTGACCTTAATAAGGAGGAGTCAGCCACCAGGGCAAAGCCTGTGAAGTTTGGCTCATAAGGCTAGAGACACACAGTAAAGACTAGTCCAGACAGAAAAAAAAAATTATAACAGGTGATGTTACAGTGTGTTTTAAAATGTGCGTAGACTTAGGAAAGAAAAGAAAATAGGTATAGACAATCATCAAAAAGAAGTGACAGTTTATAAAAAATAAAGTCTGTAAAGCAAGAGTAAAGTAATACAAAAGAAAAAGCCACGTAAAGAAGGGAAGTGCACAGGAAGTCTGGATTCTGCATGGGTTGTGCTAACTTTGAGTTTCTTGAATGCTGATGAAAGAACAGCAGCTGCTGAAAGAGGTGAAAAGAACTGCTGGATTAAACAAAACGCTTCATGGATGCCTTAATTTTAAAATGGAAGTCAGGAAATGTATCGTGTTGGGGAAGGGGTTATGCTGTTGTTTTCACAGGCAACAAAAAGAAGTTGTGGAATCCTTTCAAGGTTAATAGATATAAGGTTTAATCAGGAGAGACATCCTGAAAATCTTGGCTACAGACATAAATAAACTACAAAGCAGGTTATGTATATTTTACCTGCTGAAGCATAAAACAAAAAAAATTGTTTTGTTGACTTGTGTACAACGCACAGCCCATACTTGTGTCAATGCAGATGTGCATGTTACCTTTGGAAGTTTTCAGAGCAAGGAGATGGGACACCAGTAAAAACAGATGGTCCATGTGATCCAGCCTCTTAGAGTGTCTCTGTTACAGTTCCCTCAGAGTTCTGCATCCAGAACAGCTTCAAGGCTGCTGGTTGACATGGTCCAGCCTTACAGACTATTCTAGCCAGGACTGCAGATAAACCTTATGTTTTCCCATTGCACAGAGACTGAAACACAAATATTATAGCTAATTTTCTTAGACCTTGACCATTATCTTAATTTTCTCAGGTTCCCTAAAGATGTTGTCATCCACAGAGAACAGGAAACAGTCTAGAGAACACAATGTCCACATTTCTAAGAGGTGGGGTGGTTTGTTTATGACCATTCAATATTTGTCATCATTTAGGGGGACTATAGGAATATAGGATAAAAATACAGCTATTAACATCAAATATGGATATGATATATTGATACAAATTTAAAGTTATTTTTTGTTATACTGTATGTATATTTCTACTATTGGGAGTATTGTGCTTATGCAGCTCATTAAAATGTAATGTATAATTAAGAAATGCAGGTTAGTAGTTAGTCATCTATAATGATCAAAGTTGCAGTCATATTAGGTATGTTTTCAAGATCATACAGAGATATGTTTTAGATAGACAGGTGATCTTAAAACACTTCAGAGATCTACAGAATATGACATTTAACATGTTTAGTAATCTAAAGATATTCATGACAGTAAGACATGTCTGCTCCTGGCAGCACCAATTTACTTCAGAAATGACAATCGGCAAAAAAGAACCTCCAAATGGAGTTTGCTTTCACTGTGGCAAAGCTAGGTGTTTGGGCAAGAAACAGACTGCGCCTTAACTGCTGACAGTATGCTGAACAAATTGGACAAGCAGGACACAAAGGCTGTCAAACTCCACCCAAAAAAGTAGGGCAATCCTTCAAAATTTCTGCTTCATAGAGAAGTCAGCCACATCTTCCAGGCCTGTAGGCCAAAGATGGATACATCAACACTGCAGAGGAGGAACCTTGGGTGACTGAACAGGCAGCGAGATGTCTGTTCTTCTAGAAGTGGCTTGTACTGCACTTCCTGTTTTCTCTGGTAATATTGTATTCTTCTGTGGACTTTAATGGAGTTGAAGACTTGATAAAGTTTTCTTTAGTTATTATAGAAGGTAAACTAGGTACAGAGCTTTGGACTCACCAAGATAGGATAGATAACAGAGCATTTTCTTTGATTTTGCCAAAATACAAATGGACTGGTTATTGTAAACAGAATTCTTACATGATAATTGTTCTTATTATATATAGTCTTACTTTGTTAAAGTTAAAACCTTTCTTTTTATTTAGACAAAAAGGGGAAGTGTTGTGGAATATGATTTTAATTATGTAAAGATGTGTTACATCTGTTTAGGCTGTGGAATAGTACTTTAACTGTGTAAAGGAGTATTACATTTGTTCATGCAGTATTTGCTTAATTATGTAAAGATGTGTTGCTTGCCGGACGTTGGTGGCCCACGCCTTTAATCCCAGCTCCCGGGAGGCAGAGGCAGGTGGATCTCCGCAAGTTCCAGGCCAGTCTGGTCTCCGTAGTGAGTTCCAGGACAGCCTCCAAAGCCACAGGGAAACCCTGTCTTGTAAAACTAAAAAAGGAAAAAAAAAAAAAAAAGATGTGTTGCTGTTTCACCTTGCCTGCCTAAGGCACCTGACTGGTCTAATAAAAATCTGAATGGCCAATACCTAGGCAGAAGAGGGATAGTTGGGGCAGGTGGGCAGAAAGAAGAAATAGGAGGAGGTATCTAGGCTCAAGGGAGGAGAGAAGAAGGACTGAAGAGAACCAGGGAGAAAGAGGGACATGCCCGGGGTCAGAAGCCAGGCAGCTGCCAGGCAGCCACACATGGAGCTAAGACTGGGCTGGTTTAACCCACAGAAACAGTTGACCTGAACAAGGAGGAGCTCTTGGACTCCAGATTGATGGCTGTGTGGAAAACATGGGACTGACACAGACTCCCTGAATGTGGGTGTCAATGAGGAGGCCTAGGTAATCTGTGGGGCCTTGGGTAATATTTATCCCTGGTGTACAAATAGACTTTGAGTGCCCATGCCACAATGTGGGATGCTCTCTCAGCCTATACTCTTGAAGGAGGACATAGATCCTGGATGATATGACAGACTCTGGAGATCCACCATGGACGGCCTCACCCTCCCTGGGGATCAGAGTGGAGATTGGGTGGGGGACTGGGGGAGCCTGGGGGGAGGGATGGGGAGGATGGGAGGGAGAAGGAACTGTAATTGATATGTGAAATAAGCTTGTTTCTAACTTAATTTTTTTTTAAAAAGGAAGGAAAAAAAACCCCACTTTTCTTCCTCGCACAATCAAATCTCTATAGGCTCCACATACCTCAGGAGTCTCCAGGCAAGAATGTTCAATTTGCCCCCAATTTTTATTAACTGTGAAGAGATAATAAGAGACTTTCTCATTATACTAACCACAATTTTTTAATATATGTGTGTCTGTGTGTAGGTACATGCATATGAGTACAGGTGCCTGGAGGTCCAGAAGGGAGTGTTGGATCTCTTGAAACTGGAGTTGTGATTCTCAATTGTACTGGGAGCTGAACTCTGAGAGCAGTAAGTGTTATGAAGGCCTGACTCATCTCCTTTTTTTTTTTTTTTTTTTTTTTTTTTGGTTTTTGGTTTTTCGAGACAGGGTTTCTCTGTATTGTTTTGGAGACTGTCATGGAACTCGCTTTGTAGACCAGGCTGGCCTCGAACTCACAGAGATCCGCCTGCCTCTGCCTCCCGAGTGCTGGGATTAAAGGCCTGTGCCACCAACGCGCCCGGCCTGAGTCATCTCTTTAGCCCAAAGGCATTGGTAGTTTTAACCCTTTAAGCCCTCTTCCAAAATGGTACAAAAACTGTAAAATTTGTATACTTAAAAATAAATCTTTGGTGGTTCTACTTACCTAAATCATAACACATTTCATCTAGTCTGCACGCTACTCTGGCACAGGACAGAATCGTCTCCCATGAAGTGCTAAAAGTCCGTCCCGCCCCCTCCACTCCCTCAGCTTCTCCCTTCCATCCTTAAAGGTACAGTCTGTTCTCAACACCTCATGAGAAAGGATGTTCCTAACACGCAAAAAGGGCCGGGCATTGGTGGTGCACGCCTTTAATCCCAGCACTCGGGAGGCAGAGGCAGGCGGATCTCTGTGAGTTCGAGACCAGCCTGGACTACCAAGCGAGTTCCAGGACAGCCTCCAAAGCCACAGAAAAACTCTGTCTCGAAAAAAACCAAAAAAAAAAAAAAAAAAAAAAAAAAACACAAAAAGGTTCCAAAACCTTTGGTGGTTTCACTTTGCTTTCAAAGTAAAAGCTAAAACTCTCACAGTCTGTGTGATCTGGCCTCCGATTTCTTTTCTGACTGTTGCTCATTGCCATTTTGACAAAGATTTCACTTGGAAAGTCATCATAATATTGTAGGAATACAACACTTTTAGGCTGGGGCCCACTGTATGCTCTGCCTACAAGATTCAGGCCGGCTGCCCCGGTGCCCTGGAGTACAGACTCAAACACTCCTGGACACAAAAACCCCTAAAGGTCCAACTTCCTCCATGTACCTTAGGAATTGCCCTTAACGCACCATTCAACCTGACACCACGCAAGGCCTCGCAGGTGTCGCACCAGCCTATTTTGCTGACATGGGTGAGACCCTCAGGCACTTACCTCTCACAGCCGCTCTGAAAGGCTCGATGGGGCAGGGGTAAGCCACCCGGTGGTCTCACAAGCAGGGGACGATCGTTCTGGCCTGGTACGGAGGCTTTTGCGTTTCCGTGCGGAAGTCGCCTTTAGGGGTTGGTAGGCCTAAGTGGCCTGTCACATTGAGAAGAGCATTACGGAACTGCCTAACTTATCCTCCTCCTTAGTATAGTGGTGAGCATCCCCGCCTGTCACGTGGGAGACCGGGGTTCGATTCCCCGACGGGGAGACACGGCGTCCTTTTTGGATAGCCAGACCAGCGGCCATGGGGGCGCTGGCCCCTGGCCCGACTCCCCTACCGCGCGGGCCTGCGTCCGGGTGGTGATCTGCCGGTTTGGAGCAGCCTCGCGTGCTACCCTGGGCCCTGCGGCCCTCGTGGCGTGACCCGGGCCGTTGGGGTGCGCCGGGTGGCTGGGGTCAGGAGGCGAGAGCGTGCCCCCAAGCCAGGCTGTGTGCGTGCGAGAGGCGCGGGTGGGGCGGGAAGACGAGGATTGGCGCGTAGCGGCGGGGCCCCAGGTGGCGTTGGCCTTGACCCCGGCCCTGGCCCTGGTCCAGGCGTTGGCCTTGGCTTTGGGGCTGAGGCCGTCGTGGAGCGGGCGCAGGGAGTTAGCTGGTAGGCGACCGCGATGGCGCGGCGCGGCGTGGCGCGGCGTGGCGCCGGTGGGCACGAGCCGGTGGCAGTCCCCGGCGTCGTGTGCGTGGCGTCCCGGCGGCACGGCGTTGGTGGTATAGTGGTGAGCATAGCTGCCTTCCAAGCAGTTGACCCGGGTTCGATTCCCGGCCAACGCAGCCTGTCCACGTTTTGCCAAGGTCCAGGGCCGAGGGTGGTCAGTGTGGCGCCTCTCACTCAGCTCGTCCCGGAGACCGGAGACCGCGCCACCTACCTACCGCCCTCCCGCCCGAAAGAAGGAGGCGAGGCGCCAGACGTTTTGAGGCTCTGGCGAGAGGGAGGGGATCTGCCAGGGGCAGGCGTCGAATCCGGGAGGTGGCTCCCGGGTTGCGGGCGAAGCGGCAGAGGGCACCGGGCACCGGGCACCGGGCACCGGGCACCGGGCCTGTGGCAGGGCGGGGGCGGACGGCAGCCCCGCAATGCCGGGCGGGCGATGGTCTCCGGCGGGCGGGCGGGCGGGCGGGCCGAAGTCTGTCTGTCTGCCTGGCAGACTGGCTGTGCGTCTGTGTCGAGGAGGCGAGAGCGGCGACCGTCGGTGCCAGGCGACGCTCCCTGGTGGTCTAGTGGTTAGGATTCGGCGCTCTCACCGCCGCGGCCCGGGTTCGATTCCCGGTCAGGGAAGCATTCTCTTCTTTTTCTCTGCACCTTAGACGCCCGCTTCTCTCTCGCCAGGCTCCTTGACCGCGCAGCCTCACCTCGCCTCCCTTTTGCCCAAGAGCGCCTCTGCTGCTCGCCTCCGTTGCTCTGATACACACGCACACGCATACACCCTGACCCGTTAAGATAAGCTCCCGCTCCCAACACTCCACTCTTTTCCTAGCTTCGCACTCCGGCTCACCGTCTCTGCCCGCACACACACCGCCACCATCGCGAGGCCGCACGCACAGCCGCCACGCAACGCTCCCGCACACGCTTCCGAGACGCTCACGGAGCCCACGGAGTCTCCACCTGACTCCGACGCCTGCGCCTCTAGCTGGAGGGCCCCACCTGCCCCACCTGCCCCACCTGTCTGTATGTATCACAAGCTCCCTACCACACGACATCTGCCCTGCTCCTCTTGAGTGAGTGTGTGTGTGTGTGTGTGTGTGCGTGTGTTTGTCTCTGTGTGTGTCAACGGCTGTGAGTGTGCCGAAGTGTGTGCTCGGTGTATCTTGCAAAACTCCAGGGGATCTCGGTGATTGTTTATGGTGGTGGTGGTGGATCGGGATGGGGGTGGAGAGCAGGTGGACCGGGTGTGGTCGGGGTGCTGTGGGGAGGAGTTAGCGCGGGGCAGATGGCCGGGTCGCAGCCCAAATCCCCTGCTGGGGTTCCCTAAGTTAGCGCCTGTGGGGTGCGGGGGGAAGGGTAGCCCGTGCGCACAGTGAATGACCCGAGCCGAGACAAGATTTCCTGGAAAGCCCCCAGTACAGCTGCGGAGAGCTAAGGCCAAGCCTGGCATTTTTTTTAACCTGGGTTTTTTTATTATAAAAAGACATCTCTTCTCATTTTACACACCAATCCTAGTTTCCATTCCCTCCCCTCCTCCCCACCCTATCCACTCCTCAGAGAGGGTAAGAAAGCCTCTGTTTTCTAGACCAATCAACATACCAACCACATTGACAGTTCACACAGACACTTTTTAAGAAGCACACTATAGAACCCCTTTTCAAGATTAACCTTTAAAAATATTTCATACATTGGTACATTGGACACTGAGGATCTTCCCCTTGCCTGCTTTGCTCTTCTCGCCTCCTTTTCTTTAGTGGCCTTTGTTCCTCCTGGACGGTGTCATTTTGACTTTCATACTTGTGTTTTGGTGTTTTGTTTACTTGTTTTGTTGGAGACTAGGTTTCTCTGTGTGGCCCAGGCTGTCATGATACCTGCCCTGTAATCCTGGCTGGCCTTGAACTCACAAATTCTCCTGATGATGCCTCCCAACTGCTGGGCTTAAAGGCATGGATCACCACTGCCCTGCTCCTTCCAACATGTTCATATATCTATATACATATATCTATATATGTGTGTGTGTACATATTTATATGATTTTATACATCAATATAAAAGTCCAAGAACAACAAGCAAAAGAAAACATATAATATTCATCTTTTAATGACTGGCTTAATTTGCTTAATGAGATTATACCCGTTTTCTTTCAAGAAACATAACTTCATTCTTTATGGCTAAAAAAAAGTGTGTTCATCTCAAGACTAAGCACTGTTAGAGACAAGCTTTGTCATTTGTACAAGCATACCTCCTAAACCACGTGAGCAGGCCTCAGAGAGGCCCAGAGGAACACACCAAATACAACGCACAGCTTTATTCCCTGGGCTAAGAGTCCTTAGTGAAGGTGATATGGTCCAGAGTTGCGCGCAGGCAACTCAACACACAGGCCTAGCAGCATTGCTGACAGAAGCTATCTCCGTTTTGAAGCCTGGCATCTGTAACGCCACGGTTTCTGCGGGTCGTTGGGGGGCGGGGCGGGGGCGGGGACGGGGGAGAGGTTGCCAGCGCCAGCCTGAGTCGGGAAAGTGGAGCAGAACCTTTGCGCACCGGTTGGGTCTACTGGCGGTTCCCCTGGGTCCGGACCCTGACAGGCAGTCCTGGGCACAGAGACAGATGGTTGAGCGATGACCGCTGGCATAGTGGGAGCGTACACGGTGCCTTTCCCCGACCTGGCTCTACCCCTCCCCTGCTCCGGGAGAGGAGAGAGAGCAGTGTGAAGCAGATTTCTGCGGAGAGTCTGTCTGTCCGTCCGTCCGTCCGTCCGTCCGTCCGTCCGTCCGACAGTCTGTCCGGCCCCGGGCCAGCCGTGCGGCTCGGAGAATAGGCCCTGGGAAACACCCTGGGCAAGCCTCTGCTAGCAGGGGTCAAAGCGGGCCCCGATCGTTGCTTGCCAGTGCCAACTGCAGGGATCCGCGTTCGGCGCTGTGACAGTTGGGTCGTGTCAACTTGGCACCAGTAGGGAGAGGGATTCTGAATGGAGACAACGTCTCTACAGCGTGTGCCTGCGATGATGAGTGATCGCTGCGCGACAGCACACCACGGGCAGGGATGGCGTTGGGGTGGGGGTGCTGTGTAGGGGTGAGAGTAGGGGTGTGGGTCGGGCTGAGGGGAGAGTTGCGGCCAGGCCAGGGGCGTGCCAACCCTGCCTGGGCAGGGGGCTCCGAGTTGTGTTGGACAGCCGGCTGAGCAAGCCAGTAGTGCGCACTCTCCCACCGACAGCTACCGACTGCATCAGATCCTGCCTCCGGGTTCCTCCTACCGGGGATTCCCTCCGCCGGGGACTCAGGAACCTGAAGGAGACCCAAACTGCTCTCCTCCCAAGTTGCCTTTGTCCCTGGTGTTGGACCACAACAAGACACACCCTAACTCGTATCGAAATGGCTACCAGGAGTGGGGTGTTGCTGTGGCGGTGCTCTCGGGAAGATTGCCGAAGACCTTTGTCGGGAGTGGAGGTGGGGGCAAAGAGGCTGAATGCTCCAAGCTGGCTGCGCTGCTCCTCTCGGGGAGCTTGGAAGAGAACGTGGGGAGCAATGCAGACGACGGAGGCCTGGCTCCTACTCGCGACCCTGCAGAGGGCAGCTGGGAAGTCCCCGAGAGACTGGGTTGGGGCCATTCGGTGTTGTGAAAGGAGAGTCTGTGGCCCAGCCTCGCTGAGGCTGAGGCTGAGGAAGCATGTGTGATGAACGAGCCGAAGAGGGGAGGCACCAAGGTGAAACTTTGGCTGTGCAGGGACGATCCTCGGTGGGGCTCGAGTGGAGTCGAGAGGCCAGCGATGATGATGGAGGCCAGAGCAGCCTCGCTGGGGTGAAACCCCTGGGGGTGCTTCCTCGAGGTCGCCTGCAGAGAATGAAGCTCACGCGGAGCCAGGCAGCTCTGAATAGGTGCGGGAGTCAGCAGAGAGCAGCAGACGCTTGGAGATGGGTGTTGGGTCCGGAGTGCCCCAAGAGAGGCTGAGAGGGGACACCAGTGAAGGCGCAGTGCAAGGGAAGGCGTGGGTCGTGGGGAGCGGGCCGAGGCTTGGCACCACCATCCACTCGGCAGGCTCAGAGTCCCCGAAGAGAGCCCGGCAGGGGCTGTCACCGGCCAAGGCGAGGGTCTCGGGGATGCCTGTTTCATGGGACAAACACCAAGGGGAGCTGCAGCCTGAGGACAGAGCCAGCGTCGGCCTGGGAGACAAACTGCACGTGCTGTGGATGGCAGAGCTGTGGGAGTGGGACTGTCCGCGCCCTCTGTCACCCACAGGACAGCTAGGGAACAGGACATGTCAGGAGGCACTGACCGTGGCGACTTTGCTTTTGCTTTCCCTTGAACGCGATCGCGCCCGACTCTTCTTTCCTCCCTCGGCAAAACCAGAGTTTTACTTAAAAAAATAAAACCAGAGGAACCCAATCACTTTTTGGGTTTTTGGCTTTTTATTTCTTTGTTTTCGACATTGGAATTTACAGAAGCCCATAGGTAACACGGTGAAGGGACAACGGAATTGATGAGGGCTTTTGGATATCCTAGAGATGCTTAGAACCTTGAAGGAGACTCTGGGTGATTTGAGGAGACTGAACGATGAAGGTTTGAATGGTAAAAGGGCGGGAGCAGCATCTCTAAAGTCCTTTGTTGTGGGATATTAGTTCTCTATGCATTTCATTCGTTCATGCTGTAAAGTAGGTGTGTAACGGTGCAGCAGAGCTG